TTAAGCCCTTGCCCGCAGCGCTGGCATGCCATGTGGGAGCTCATTCAAGTCTCAGCAGCTGCACTTTCAGTCCAGCTCCCTGCAAATGTACCTGGGCAAAGAGCAGAACATGGCCCACGTGCTTGTAACCTTGACACTCAAGTCAGAGAGCTGAATGAAGCTCCCGGATCCTGGCTTTCATCATCAGTCCTGGCTTTTGTGGTCATTTGGGGAATAAACCAGGAGAAGATTTCTCCCTCTGTCTGTCTCTTTCTCTCTCTAAAATTCTACCTTTCAAATAGGTGCTTTAAAAAAGTAACAAAGCAGTATGATTTTTTTACGTAAAAATGTCTGAAAACTATGCATAATTTTTCATGACATGCATTTTCATAAATTATTTGATGATGTTCCATATGTGTGTTGCATATTCTCATATGTACTTGTTTAAAACTTAAAGGAAACAAATGAGTATATTCATTTTGACTATTTCTAGGCCATCAAATGGGATATGATTTATTTTATTCTATATGGATCTTTGCACATATTAAATCTTCGGTTTATTTTCAAGAAAATAATTTGCACATTTGAAAGACAAAGTAAGAGAGAGAAGTCTTCCATCCACTGGTTTACTAGGAATGAGCCAGTCTGAAGCCAACACCAGGAGCTCGCTCTGGGTCTCTCACATGAGCGGCCCGGGCCCAAATTTAGGGCCATCATGTCCAGTTTCACCAGGTAAATTAGCAAGAAGGTGAATCAGAAACCATGTAGAGGGCTGGTGTTACAAATAAAGCTGCAGCCTACAACACTGGCATCCCATATGGGCACTGGTTCATGTCCAGGCTGCTTCGGTTGCTATCCAGCTCCCGGTTCATGGCCTAGAAAAATCAGTGGAAGGTGGTCCAAGTGCTTGCTCCCCTGCCACTTCTGCTGGAGACCCAGTGAAGCTCCTGGTCCTGGCTGCTGGGCCACCTGGGGAGTGAATTAGCAGATGGAAGATCTCTGTTTCTCCTTCTCTCTGACTCTCAAACAAATAAATAAACACAACTGAAGAAGAAGCAGCAGTAGAAGAAGGAGGAGGAGAAAGAAGAAATAATATCTGTCCTGTATTTGCGACTTCAACCTGTACACTGAAATGGTATGGTGGGACATCCCAAGCCAACCCACTAATTTCCTAACAAACATGACTGATTGCCAGTTGGACAGGTAAAAGCAGTCCTTTTTAAAAAAAAGTATTTTTTACTTATAAATGTGGAATCCCATGTGGAAGGGGCTGCGAGCAGATAAGCAAGCCTGCGCAGTGATGGAACAGCCCAGGGTTGGGAAGGAAGTGATGCCTGGATGACTAGGAGGAAAGTGGTGGTGTGAGTGTAGTGGACACTGCAGTCAGAAGCCAAGAGGAGCGAAAGGGAAGTTGTGAGTCACCGAGCAGAAGCCTCACTCAATTCATCTGCAGCGTTTCCCAGGCAGTCTGCGGCTCTTGCGGAGCAGATCTACGCGCTCTCGTGGGTGACCACGCCAAAGCGAGAAGCATGAAGCGACTACAGCAGTTGGGTGTGTGCCTCTTGGGGGGCATCCCCCTCCCTTGAAATGCCGTGATAATTGCTAGCTCTCAGAAGGCATCCAGACATGTGAAAAACAGCATTTCCTGCAGGGTTAGGGAGCAGGTCGATCCCTAATGCTACCAGGAGACTTCAATCACTCTGCTTGGCTTTTGCTGTGATCAGGCAGTTAAAAAAAAAAAAAAAGCCACAGATCTGTATACTACTGTCATCATGTCAGCAAATGTCATTCCTTGATTCCTTCCCTGGGAGGGTGCCTCAGCTCCATCCAACACTTCTCCCCTCCAAATAGCTGACTTGGCCCTGCTGTGCGTGCATAAGCTTTCTTTTCCCTCATTCTTCGATGTAAGCGTGCAAAGTGCTCCTACGGCACAACTGCACCACGTCTAGCCTTTGTCTTCCTTGCTCCTCTACACAACAATCTTCAAAACAACCACCACCACCACCACCACCACCACAGCCCAAGCTCTTCCATGGGACCAGTGTAGTGGCATAACAGGCTTACAATGGCAGTAACCTATACAGGTTTCGGTTCAGATTCTGGCTGCTCCACTTCCAGTCCAGCTCCTTGCAAATGCTCCTGGGAAAGCAGCAGGAGATGGTTGGAGTACCTGGGCTCCTACCATTCACACTCCTGGCTTTGGCGTGGCCCAGCCCTTCTACTGCGGCCATCCGGGTGGTGAACTAGCGGGTGGAAAACTCCCTCTAACTCACCTTTCAAACAGATAAGCAGATCCTTAAAAGAAGTCTTAAATGACCTATGTGACATTTTTTATTTTGTGCCTCACATCTTGTCTCTGATGCACAGAGCTGCCCTGGATACAACGAGATGGCAAAAGCTGTGGTCTCTACTAGTGTGAGCGTTTAATACTCACATAAAGAAAACACCTGTGCTGGGAATGTGGCTGCACACATGCATGACACGGAGTCATGCTGGGCCTGCAAGAGAATGGAGCACATCCTGTCGCAGCCGAGGCACGAGGTGCAAGGCACGAGGCAGTGCAGCGTTTACAGCACCACGAGCCTCCAGAACGATTTACAAGTGGCCATTGTTTTGTTGACTTTTCTTCTGCAAATGGGCCCTAGCATCACATTTTAAGGTATATTGACCCTCCAGTTAGCTTTAAACCTCAACTGGTTTGTCAATATCCAATTTTAGGACACAAGGGACATTCAAGCTTGGCAGGTCTTGTTGCCTGTTTATTCTGGTGGACATCCAGCGCTTTATGGCATTGCAATCTAAGAAGCTCCTCAAAGGTTGCAGAGTCTGTGTGTTTCTTTCACTCATGATCATAAAATCGTGCCTCGCAATATATGTTTTGCCCTAAGAGAGGCAAAAACAGCACTGCTGTGCGAGCGTGAGGGTCTGCACCCCCTTGGAATCTCAGAAAGGACTTCTTCCTACTTTGACTCCCAAGCACAAACAGAAACCGAGAAAGCAAAGCTGTGGAACCCCCCATGGGGCAGCAGGAATTTCTGGGAGAGTGTGCTGTGACAAGGACATTGTCCTAGCTGCCCGACTCCTTGGCCGTGACACTGACCAGCACCCAGAGTGGGCTTTCTGCAAAAAGAAAAAAAAAAGTATCCTGACAACCTGGAGGGGCTGGTATGAACCTGCCTCACATTGTGAGACCCCCGCAGGGACCAGGAAGCCACGAAATAAGGAACAAATAGGGCTGGAACAAAAAAACCACCTCCTGCAGGTTGCACGGGCCACCTCCCTCCATTAAACAGCAAGGCAGTTGGTGTCCCTTGCTGACCTTCTTTCTCCGGGGAGCGCGTGGAGAGGATGTGGGGTCAGAGGAGGCAAGAGAAAAAGGAAACCGCCAAGTATGAAAGGGCATTTAACCCCTCGGCACGCGCGCACACATACAGGCAGCCTTAAAAATAAAGGCACTTCATCAACAGCTGAGGCGTGCAGATTTGGAATCAGACCTGATTTGGTTTCATAATTTACTTGCTTCCTTTGCTTTATTTATTGGTTCATTTCTTGAAGTCCTCGGGGACTCTTGATCATCCTAAACTAATCTAAAAAAAAAAAAAGCGCGCAATGCAAAGAAAAGGATTTTGCTCAGTATGCCTCTCACTGGACAGAAGGCGAAGTTGGAGCTGCTGGAAGAATTCACTTTGCTCCAAGCACATGGGGCGTGGTGTGCTGAAAACTGCTAAACTTGTAAAGTTTAGGGGGACTCAGAGTGTAATTCCCGGGCGGTGGAAAGGAATTGGAGACCAGAGGCTGTGCTAACCCAAGCGGCCAGCAAAGCAGAGATTAGGCGCGGAGTTGGAGAGCTCTGTAGCTCTCTAGAGAGCCAGTAGCAGGCTGAGGGGTGGGTGGCGGGAAGTCAGGCCCCCGGGGATCCGGCCATCCTCGGCTGTCAGTCAGCACGCAGGCAGCCCCCTGCCTGGCTCCAAGGGGGCGAGGCCGCCCGTAGTGGGGACAGAGAGCTGCAGTGAAGAGGGGCGTCCCCTCCGCCGCCCGCTCCCTCTCCAGCGCCATTGGGCCGCCGCCGTGCATCCTACCCCGCCTTGGCCGCCCGGCCCGGCCCGGCCCGCGCCCTTCCGCGCTGGGCTAGGGGGCTGGACAGTCCCGGGCCGCTGACGTCACCGCCAAGTTTGCTGCCCCCGGCGCCCCACGTGTGGCGAGGGCTGCGGCTGTGGCCGGGGAGGTGGCGGCGGAGGAGCGCCTGCGAGTCCGGGGGCCGCGGCCACACTGACAGGTCCCGCGCAGGCGGCTCCGCCACGCCGCTCGCAGGTGGGACCGAGCACAGCCGGGAGCAGCCGCGGGAGCGCGTGGGGACCTACAGGGGCGCAGCGCTCGGCGCAGGCTTGCAAGGCTCGAGTTCCGACAGGAGAGGGGCTTGGAGGGACCCTCAGGCCGAGACGACCTCTGCTTTTCCGGGGCCGAGAGGCGGCCCGGAGGACTTCAGCAACAAGGGTTTGGAAGGACGTTGCTACCGCCGCCCACGGTCGTGAGGGCGCACGGGAGCTCGGCGGCTCCCCGGCTCCAGGACCGAGCGTGGAGATGCAGAAACTCTGAGGCGAAAGCCGCGCAGAGAAGAAGGGGGCCGCCGTTACGGAACTGGGGGTGCTGAGCCGCACGTACGCCTTCTTTCCCTTCAGCCGCGGAGAAAGCAAGGTCCCGGCGACTTTGTGGGAACTGATGCCCCGAGCGGCTCCGGCGGGACTTGGGCGAGTCTAAGACGATGGTTTCCTAAGCACGGCCCCCAGCGCGTCCCCCTTCCCCGTGTCCTCGACTGGAGGCTGGGATCCAGCGCGGGGCTCCCGGGACTCTGTGACCCCTCTTTCCACCTCGGGGCCCCAGCCGCCGCCTCCCCCAGGCCAGGGCGCACGGGCGATGTGGCCGCCTCCCGGCGCGCAGGCCGGTCCGCGAGATGCGGTGGCGCCCGGCGGAGTCCCGGCCTAGCATGGCTCGTTCGCGGCCCGACGTCGCCTCCGGCTAGCATGGCCTCTCTGGGCCCGGCCGGCGCCCTCCTCACCTCGGCCGAGCCGCTGTCCCGCAGCATCTTCCGCAAGTTCCTGTGGATGCTCTGCTCCCTGCTCACGTCCCTCTACGTCTTCTACTGCCTGGCGGAGCGCTGCCAGAGCCTGTCAGGCCCCGTCGTGGGGCTGTCGGGCGGCGGCCAGGAGGCAGGGGCCCCGGGCCGGGGTGTCCTGGCAGGAGGCCGGAGGGAGCCGGCGAGGTGGCCGGCGGTGGCGCAGAGAAAGCGCCTCCTGCAGCTGCAGCCGCGCGGGCGGAAGCGCCGGCCACCCGCGCCGCGCGACGACGGCGAAGGGGACGACGGGGACGGGGACGCGGCCTGGGACGAGGAAACTCCTGGCCTGGCCGCGAGTCCCGGCGGCTCCGGGGCCGGCAGCAGCGTGGCCGAGCCTCCGCCGGGGACCCTGGCCTTGCTCCTGGACGAGGGCAGGAAGCAGTTGCCGCAGGCCATCATCATCGGCGTGAAGAAGGGCGGCACGCGGGCGCTGCTCGAGTTCCTGCGCGTGCACCCGGACGTGCGCGCCGTGGGCGCCGAGCCCCACTTCTTCGACCGCAGCTACGACAAGGGCCTCGCCTGGTACCGGTGAGCGCGCTCGGAGGGCGGATGCGGGTGCGGGTGCGGCGCATGGGGGATTGGGCAGTGTGGGGCTGGGAGTGGGGGCTTGAGGAGAGTCCTAGGTAACCCCCAGGCCTGCCTCCCCAGAGCTTCTCTTTAGCTTTGGGATTTGTAACCATGGTGCCTCCTCCTGGACGTGGGGAGTGAGTGTTCCGGGCAGGGCGTGGAGTGGGGAGGGAGGTTAGCGAGCTTGGAAGTTTGTTTAATAATTTTTAGTCTCTGCGAGTTCCTTTTCTTGAAACAGTCTAGGCCTTTTGCTCTGTGAACGTGTCTGGTATGTTTAGCTAAAAGGTGTGCGGGGGAGGGGTATGAAAAAAGAAAAATGATCCCCCCTGAATTGGAAACCTGTGCATCAGTCACTAGGTTGCCTCTGTTTTCCAGGCGATTCTCTGTGGTTACTGTCCCGTGTTCCCTCGCCCTTAGCCAGGTATGAGTCCCAAACACTTGTTGACGGTGTCACCTGTCAGGGGGTTCAGGCAGTGCAGATAATCTGTGTCCCAGGAAGAGGCAAGCACCCGTCGCAAGGCTTTAAGGAAAGGCTTCCTTGGTCTTAGCTTTTGGTTTCGAGTGAGGGAGAGAATTATGACAAACGCTTTCAAAATGTGTGAGAAAAAGTAACTTTGGTGTCTGAGCTGGCAGAAACTTCCTCATCTTGAACCAATCCCCTTTATCAACAAGGTAGGAGATTTAAAAACGAGAGGGAGGAGGGAGAGAGGGAGGAAAGGAAGGAAGGAAGGGAAAAAAGGAAGGAAAGAAGAAAAATAACATAGTAAGAAATACATATATATATATGGTAAGAAACTTTGTGAATACTGGATACAAGTTAGAAGAAAAATCTCACTTTGATTTTCGTTTTCAACTTGCCAGGCTTCTCAAATTCTTACTACTTCTCATGATAGAATTGGTCAAACTAATAAATCCTGGTGCTGATTGGAGTTTCTTTGCATAAAATATGGGATTTTTTTTTTAACCCTTTCCTCCAAAATCAAGAAAAAGATAAATTACTAGAGATTGCCATCTTAGGAAGCTTATCTTTTTGGTAAAATATGCATCTCTTTGGAGAGTTGAAAAGAAACCATATCGCAGAACCCACAACATCATTTAGATCTGTCTCAGAAAGGGGCACTAAGTTAACTTCAGAACAAAAGTGGACATGACTTGACAAGTTTATGTTCTTGCCGACTCAGGCACGCTCTCGGATCGATTTTCGGGAGCAGTAACTCAACTCGTGAGAAACCGTTGGGGTCCTTAAAAAACTCCAATCCAAACATTCAACACTCTTAAAAACAGTAACCTTCCATCTGTTGGAAAGAAAAACAAACAAGCTTCTTTTAATATAGAATCTATATCATTTCAAGGCAGCAGCCACTTCAAATGCCCCCTTGTGTTTCTGTCATTTGTGTCGGATCCTCTGGGAAGTTCTTATAAAAGTGACCTGTTGAATCAGGAAACAAGAAGTCATTCTGTGTTCGCACAAAGGCAGCTCTGTTTTGTCCCATCAAGGACACAAGAAAGGAGTGATTAAAGACCCTTAAAACACTTATCTTTTGCAGTTCGCATTGGATTTGGCCTGGTACGGTGCTGTGAGCGAACGCATTGCAGGCTGACCATCTGCAGCATGGTTGGTCTCCGAGGTGTTCCAATCCGGAGAAATATTTAGTTCTCCAGCAGCCTTTTACTTCCGTCTTGCCATGTGCGCTGTCTCTCCACAAAGCAGCTTTCTGCCTGCTGCTTCCAGAAATGAGTTTTGGAGGGCACGGTCTGTCTTACAGACTTGAATCTTCATTTTCTGTGGACTGCTTTCAGAGCTCGTGTGGGGCCAGGAAGGTTTGAAGGTAACTGGAAACATAAGTATTAAAAAAAAAAAAAAAAAGAGTCAGGAACAGGGAGGACAGTCTCTCCCTTGGAAACTGGATGTAGGCTGAAAAGTAAACCTCCTTGGCTTGTTTATTTCAGTACAAGAGTCCCTGTAAAGCAATTTATGGTGGTTACAAAAATAACTGCACAGTAGGCTTCATGCTTTGCTGAATCCAATTTTCCAAGTGTTGGAGCAATGTCTTTGTTTCACCATTTGCAACAGGGTTTTTTTTTTTTATTGGATGCATAAATTCAAGTTTAATTCAGTTACCTAGAAAAGTCTCATTTCACAAAAAAATGAAGCCCAACCTGTGGATTCTGGATTATGCGGTCACGCAATGAAATTTCCCCCACAGTTCTCTTCGCCTTCACTCTGCACGTGGAGTTTGGTGCTGTGAGCAAGCCTGAAGGCTGAACTGTTACACGTTGGGGGAAACTTCCCCCCCAACCCCAGAATGCCCTTAGCCGTGAAGAACATTCTAGCTGCTGCTGATACTTAGTTCATACTTGAGAACTGAACATTTGCTTAGCTTCGCCCTGAGTCAGCCCCAAATGTATCATATGGGATTTCTGCCACACCTTTGTGGCCACACACACACACACACGCACTGGTGCAGAAACAGAATTTTGGCATTTGCATGCTGAAGCGAATGATGGAGGGAAGAACGACAATCCTGTGTCGTATTGTTATTTACCTGTTGCCGTGGGAGAACCTGATGTCCAGCCTTGGTTTTAGGCTCAGGGACGTGTTGGCCTTGTGTTTGTTGTGGCAGCGCCCCCTACTGTTCTCACGGAGGGAAATTTCCTGTGGCTGTTAGGAATTTTGTAGGAAACCTCCTGGAGAAATAATTCGAGAAATTTGATTCAGCATCGGCTTTTGCTAACATATTTCCATCGGTCTCTCTCTCTCTTTGGGAAGAAAATTAAATATTTCCTAAACTTTTTTTTTTTTTGAGAAGTAGAGGGCTAAAACCTCCCTGTGTTTGAGCAGCTTAGTATGAAAAGCAAAGAAAGTGAGTTTCTTTTTCGAAATATCTGTGCAAGATGTTATTTACCCTGATTTTCAAGGTCTGAATAGCCTTCCTCTGTAATGAATGAGGCAGAGGCAGGTTTTTATAAGCCGGAGGTCCGTGAATGATGACTTAGGAGACTCGAGTGGCGTTTTCTGGCTACGAAATTCCACCCAGAGGGGGTTTAGAAAACATTCCTCTTGACTTAATTTGGCAGACATGATATCAGTGCGACAAGTGTCTGGGGCTTGCGTGTCACCGGAAAGCGAGCCTTTGTCATGAATATTCTGTACGCCCTGTGTGTGCGAGTGTGTGCGTGTGTGGTACGTGTGTGAGTGTAGGTGTCTGTGGGATTTCTCAAAGCAAGTGGGAAGCGTTTTTGTCAGTTTCTAAAAAGTTCAGCTCTTTATTGAGGTGCAGGCCAAATGCTTCTGCATAGCTCAAGAGCAAAGACACAGCTAAGATGGGACAGCAGAAATGGGGGCGGGAGGGAGGATAGTCCGTGCCCAGTCTCCGGCTGTGGCGTGTGTGAGCGCAGGCCTGACCACACGTAGACCGGAAGGCCCACCTCGGCCTGTCCGTGGCTGCACCCGCCAAAAGGCCTGCCGTCCTTCTCCCAAGACGCAAGATACCTACTGATGATGTATTTACAGACCCAGACATACATTACACGTGAAATATACAGTTGGCTTTCCTGTATTCAGGCTCCGCATCCACAGATTCTGTCAAATGTGGTCCCTCCAAATCAAATTTGGGGGAGACCATTTACCCCAAACTTTGTTCCTTGACAGTTAAATGTCGCAATTATGTACCTGGCGTTCCCAGTTGAGTCAGGTAGTGGGAGGAATACGGAGCTGTTTTAAACTACACAGGAGGATTGTAAGCTCATCCAGTGATATTTTGTATGAAGGACTTGGAGCATCTATGCATTTTGGCATCTAGCATTGGATTCCTGGGACCCAGCCTCCACCCCCCATGATACTGGAGGCCAACTGTACACATTAATGTGTATATAAATATTTGGCTTGTGCACCATTTTCGTCTTTTATTTTAATGCGAGATCGGAAGTATTCATTATCTCTGCCCAAGAATGTTTATAGCCTATGTTTTAGTTCTTTTTCTTTAGTTGAGTCTGGACAGTTTCGGCAGAGGCGTGGAACCGTTCTGGCCCCTGGTATCCAGGAAGATCAAAGATGACTCATCTTGGTGTTTGCAGGACTTGGCGCTTCCCTGACCTCATCAAAATGTGGAGTGTTCTGGTCTCTAATGATCACGACCTTGTTGTTGTTTTTTTTTTTAAGTCCAGTGGGGAGGTGAACTGAACCAAGGGCGCTTTCCGTTCCTAGGAGTAGAAATGAGGGTGTTGGAGCAGCTGGGAGCAGCTGCAGACTACCCCCGTGTGCAGTTTCCCACCCTCCAGGGCAGCCAGCCCCAAGTGCGGGAAGGGTTGGGAAAGAAACTTGAGCCAATGGAGCTGCAGAGGCTGGCCACCCATGCAAGGTCATGTGGGCAGAGGTCCAATGCCTGTTTATCTGTCCTGAGAGCAGAGACGTGAACCCTGGGCAGGGACGAGGATAGAGAAAAGACTGAGAAGATGTGCTCTGGGCTCCAAGACTGGCACGCGAGTCCACAGAGGGAACTGGTGCCGTCTGAATCATGCATGTGCTTCCGAGGAGGTTGAAGGCGATGGACACTCCCTACCCAGGAGGAGATGGACAAGCCATAACACTGTCATTTGTTTGGCTTAACCTCAGCAGAGGAGATCTGCTGAGCACGATGGCCCTTGGTGTAGTGTGTGTGTGAAAATAACATACCCTGTGGGTGAAGAAAGTGCTAGAACTGATACAGGGGAGATTTACTGCTTGGTAGGAACTTGTGAGCAATACTGAGTAGCCTGGGAATGGAACAAGCCTTGGGTCTATGGTCAGAGTCCAGCCACAACGCTCAGTAGAGCCAGAATGATAAAGCAAATACTCCTTTAAATGAGGAGATGGCTCAGGTACCAGTACACTTTCTGTGAGATCCGTAGGCCTTGCTGCGTGGAAATGACAATAGAATCCACTCACATCCTGCCCTCCCGTTGAAAAGGCAACAATGCTT